TTATAAAATTTGGTGAGTCAGGTGCTTGGTACATACAAACCTTGTATGCTTCCTCTTCGTTTGTTAATTAAGTTGGTCACTGGCCCTTTTAGGTGCCTGAATAAAATACAGAAACGGAAAGCCAGGACTGCCAGGCAGTCCTGACTGTCCGCAACCCCAATAAAATATACTTCAGTATCTAATCTTAAATTTCATGCCACAGACCAACTGAATGCATGGCACTTGGATGACAATACTTTGGAGATCAATCATTGGATTTTGATTCCAGCAATATAACCATTGACCGAAACCCAATAAATCCGAAGATTGATCTCGTTCAAATGATCACTTTTTATGATTTGTTGTTGGCCATTTTGGCCTTTCTTTTTCTTTCCTTCTTTTCTTTATTGCACGGAAATTAATTCTTCTATTTCAGTTGGGTTGGATATAACTATTAACCATTTAGTCTTGTAGTAGAGTTATTTACATTCTTACTCATAAATTGAGGGTTGGAAGCCTAGTTTCTACATATTAGAAGAAAAAAAAAAAGAAGAAAAATTCCTCTTGGATATGTATTATGGACATAAAGCTAACATTCTGCTGGGAATATATGTTTCTTTAAGAGACTTTTTAGAAAAGGAAGTGCTGTTCGATGCTTTCATACTAAGAGAAAGTATGTAAATAAATTACATGCATACCTTTTTGTCATTTCATTTTGTTCCTTCTAGCTTGAATGTATCAGGTGATGTTTGGTTTAGGATTAGTTATAGCCATAAATAAAATTGATGAGGTCACAAAAAAAGGCCATAAATAAATTTTTTCACCTGATTTAAGGTGATAACATTTTCATTTATGACAATAATCATTCATGTTTGGTTAAGTGGAATAACTGTTGCTTCAGAAGAAGGTTTGATTCTTTGTTTTGGTAAAGGTTGTTTTGATCTCAGATTTTAGACACATCCAATTAAGAATGTTACCATCTAAACTAGCTGGTAGCTTTTGGCTTTACGCTTTGAATCAAATCCATCATGGGATCCACATCATGGCCATTGTTTGTTTCTTAGCTTAGCACTCCATCAGAGGTGTCTGGAGGTGAAGTTAAAACCAAAGTGAATTTACTTGGAATCAGTTGCAACTTTTTCTCACTTTTTGTTTCTGTTTCCAGCCTTATCACAAGGGTAGAAAAAGAAAAGCCAAGCTGATGCAAAGATTTTGGGATTAACCCAACAAAAATGCTGCAAAGAAAGAACTGTCCCAGAAAATATGTCATGAAATTACCATGTACGAGGTCCTACTGGAAACTGACTTGATATGTTTAGAACAGGAAGGTTATTTGATTGCTGAGAGATCCTGATGCTGAAGGTGACTCAAGTGGGATGCAGTAGGCCCTTTTGACATTGAATGTAACCTTAGATTCTCTTGGAATGGATTACCTTACGGATGATCTATGCCTCCTTTTGGTGAAATCTCCATAGAAAAATTTGTGGTATCAAATAAATACTGTGCAGTTGGACAGCACCTAGACTGCACAACATGAATTGTGGGGTAGATCTACCTCCCAGACTCTAGACTGCAAAATGTCAGACTATGAAAACGCGGCAATTTCATCTGCATTTTTCCATGGCATGGTTGATCTGATTCACTTTTCCTTTGTTACTTGAGTAATAAAATCTAAGGTTAGATTCTTTGATTCCATCTTCACTTCAAAGGACAAAAAGAATCCGTCAATCCCACTTCACACCACAACTTATAAAAAAATTATTAAAGAAAAAGGAAAAATAAAGAGTCATTTGGCTTTCCCTTCCAGTCACCAAAAAGAAATGTCCATTATATCATAGGAAGGTTATGATCATAAATAACTTTCTTAAAATTACTCATTTTTATTATAATTTTATCCATTTATAATTTTTTAATTATTTATTATAATATTTAAAAATATTTATTTATAAATTAATTTTAATTTATTAAATAATAAATACTAACTGTTTTATCAATTATGAGTTATTTTTAATAATTAAATTAAGATAAAAATTTAATAATTTTAATAATTTTAACAAAATTAATGTGGACATAACCATAACCTTAATAGCATTCCAATCATCTATTGTTTTAATTTTATCTTCTTAAAAAAAAAAAAATTCTAAGGTTTCTCACATGATAAGTATAGTTGTAGTCAATTATTTGCACCGGAGAAAAAAAAAAAAAGTTGTAGCCAATTATTAATCATGGTGGGGATGCCTTACTCAGCAGGGGAATCATGCAGAGAGAGAGACGATGGAAAAATAGCAAGATAAAAGCAGACCATGCACTTTTCCTCTTTTCTCTCCTTTTGAGATCCAAATTAAACTATGCTGCTTTCTCTGTTTTTGCTGCATCAGAGACTCTCCATTCCCCTTTCAAGTCAATGAAGAAAGAAATTTTTTCTTTCTTTTAAAAAAAAAAGCGAGTATCAAATGGGAAATGGAAGAAAGCAAGAGTCACTGGCACAGTTCATGGCATATATTCCCTTCTGCAATACAACCCCACATATGTTTCCAGATATGGAGTGAGAACGTAGGACACGGCCCCTAACAAATTCCATTTTTTTTTTATAAATGAGAATTACAACTTCCCTCATATTGACAACATAAGCTCAGAGAAGGATCAAAACCCACCATATGCATTTCAGTCCTCTACCTGTCTCTCACCAACAGAACATTGCATTGGCCTGCGGAATATGCAAAATCAGAACATGAACCTGGTATTGTCCACTGATGCAAAGCCTAGGCTCAAATGGACTCCTGAACTCCATCAGAGATTCGTGGAAGCTGTCAGTCACCTTGGAGGGGCAGAGAGTTAAGTCTTTGTACATATATTTTTAGCATAGTCATCTTATCAAATCTTCTTGATGCTGGTACTCATATTCCTATGCACGCATTTGTGTACAGAAGCAACACCAAAGAGTCTGATGAGGGTCATGGGAGTCCCTGGACTTACCCTCTACCACCTCAAGAGCCATTTACAGGCAATTCCTCTTCCCAATATGACTATTTGTACTTAAGTTTCTCTTCCTTACCAGATGTTTTCTAGTTACAGAAATACAGGCTGGGGAAAAGCCACCAGACAGAAATTTGCATCGACAGTAAGCAAGAAGGTATCTTTGAAGCAGAATACAGAGAGAAACAGAGCAGTGATGGGCATTTCAGTGAGGAGATCGATGATCGAGGACAGAATGAGATGAATGAGTAATGAATACATATACTGATCATTTATCCGTGTGAAAATTTGATATGTGAGCCGAAACATAAGATGAACATCCAGCCTAAAACTAATTGGTGATACGTGAAGTGGTTCATCTTATATTTAAGCTACACATGTTATTTGTTATTTCTTTGACATGTGATTTTTTCATTTAGCAATCTGTTTCATGAATTTGGGTTGAAAATGATAATAGAAGATGCTGTTGAATTGATATTGATTTCAAACTGGTAAATATGTTTCACCAGAAGCTTGAAGATTGCTCAGGCTTTACAAATGCAAATGGAAGTGCAGAGAAAACTTCATGAACAGATTGAGGTATGATCAGATCAAGAAACCAATTTGGATCATTCTTAATATGTAGCTGAATCTGATTAAGAACGGCTCGTTTTCAGGTCCAGAAACATTTACAGCTGAGAATTGAAGCTCAGGGGAAGTACTTACAGTCAGTATTAAAGAAAGCACAAGAAACGCTTGCTGGCTATAGTTGTTCTGCTGGAGTAGAACTCATAAAAACTGAACTATCTGAAGTAATCTCAATGGTTAACGCTGGCTGCACGAGTCCTTCATTTTCTGAATTGACAGAAGCAGGAGGTTCCAGCCTAAAGGACATAGAAAGAAAGCAAATGAGAGGGACCATGTATTCCATGGAAAGCTCATTAACATCGTCTGAGAGCTCAGGAAGAAAGGAAGAGAAGCAAGCAAGAATTGAAACTGTTGATATTCTCGAGCAGTCTAATACTTGTATTGAACTTCCATTAATGGAAATTCACCCAGAAGAGAAGCCATGGAATAGGGGTAAGGCGAGAAGTGTAAGTACGATTTCTGATGGTATGTGTGTTGAGCAACCCCTTGCTAAGAAACTACAAGCTGATGAAGAAAAAGGGAGTGACCAATTGAGAAAGCCTGGATTCCTGGGGACATTTGATCTCAACAGACAATACCAGAATGACACAGAATTTGATTAAAAAACAATAGATTTGAACATCAAGGAAATGGATCATCTCAAATGGACACCATTAACACTGGGGACGACTTGGTAATACAACACTATGCGGAAGAAATTGATTTAAGACCTAATCTTATGTTTATAAAAAGTATGTATAATGTTGTATGGAGCCTCAAGAATTTTTAAAAGCATATCCATCTCTCTAGTAGCTATCAGCATCTTCTTAGTACATTTATGCTCGTATTTCAAGTTTAGGTAAATAGAATTGAATAATTTTCAGTTGAAGAAAGTAAATCATTAGATAAACCTAATAGGCCTGAAAGACTCCATAACTGAAGATGATTAACATCGACATATAATGCTCTCTCCTTTCCTTCTCATTAAGCTTCAAGTTATGGAAGATGGACTCAAAGAATCCTTCTTCGTCTAGGCCTTATCAAGTTGTCATAGCATTCTCTTGTTGGTTGTTGACTCTATATATACTCATGAGTATTCTCCTCCGTCGAGTCAAGGTATGCTACGGTCCAAATGGAAATTTTCCTTTACTAGAGCTAGCTTCCATTTTGAGATGCTACCTTATAATAGATGTAGTTTGGAGCACATCGTAGGAACAAATGCAGGTGAAAGCATATATATTTGGTAATTGGGCAAAAAGACATGCTTCTGTTGATATTCTAGGAGCAGGAAATCTCAAAAACAACATTGTTCTTTTGAATGCAACAGTAAAGAACATCATTTTCCATAACTATGGTAAGTCAAAATGATTTAGAATTCAGAAAACATCAATAGTTATTGCTGTTTCAGTTATTTAAGGACCACAAATAAGACTGGAGCCCTACGAATAAGATTCATCAAAACAATGACAGCACAGACCAAATTTATGTCAAGTCAATTAACATTGGTTTGTAACTAGGGTGGGGGCATTAAAGTGGTTGAATGAGAATGTGAAGTGACTTGACTTGGTGGGGTAACAACTAAGAAGTGAGAACCTCTGTGATAGTTGCCATGGGTGTAGTGCGTGCCTCCTTCCCTTGGGGAACATGGACAAACCAGGTCACTAGGAGCTGGAATAGCACAGACCAAATTTATGAAGCTTATCCCAAGTTCACAATTGATCGGAAATTCAACTTCCCCCAGGATGTTATTCTTTCGGTAGCGACATTATGTTGGGTTAGGCCTATCCCTCCTATGTGGAGAAATGGCCCAATATTCATGGACTAAGCCCACACATGTTAAGCCCACTTGAAGTCATGTATCTACGGCCCTTTTAAGACAAAGAAAGAAGGTTGATTTGGATAGCAAAAAGTGGAGAGCACATGAAAGGAGCCAGCCAACAAAAAAGGAAAGAAAGCTCGGGGGAATTCTGTAAATTTGGTACTATACATAGTTTTGCAACTTTTTCCATTTTCTAAAAGCTTACTGTTAGATTGAGTTTCAATTTTATTTGAGTATTCATGACACATTGATCTACATTTTGAATAGTCAATTTTTCATTTGGAGTTTTGTAGGTTTTGATTTTGTACCTAAAATAGTAGCTCATTTTTGGTGATTATCTCTCTTTGTGATCTCACTTTCTTTATTGGTTTGTGGCACGTTATTACTCTTGTTTGGTGTTGTTTTGTGTCTTTTAAGAAGAGGATATTGTATACTATTTTTTATTATAGTAGAGCTATTTTCAATGGACTAGACGTCACATGGTTTTTACCTATTTTTTTGGGTTTTCCACGTAAAAATAGTCTCTTATGGTGATTATTATGCCTTAGCCATATTTATTGTATTACATATTTTAGTTGCTGCCATTATTTTACTTGGACTCAATTTAGCTTGCTCCAAATAGTTTCAAATAAAATTTAGAAGATTTTGGTGTTGTGTTTGTTTTTGTTGTGCTTAGGTGACATCTTGTTCTTCCCTACAGATTGGTATTTGAACTTTTGGTTGGTTGATTTTTAGATATCTATTTGAATTATGGAGGCTAATACAAATAAAATGATTTACTTGAATATCATAAATGATCAGAAATGGAGAGTTAAAATGAAAGATCTCCTATTTTGTGAAAAAGATGCATTTACCAATGTTTGGAACTTAAAAACTAGAATCTATGATTAATGAAGAGTGGACTTTTAAGCACCAGTAAAGTTGTCTATATAAGGTAGTAGGTACAAGATAATGCCTTGAATCACATTACTAATAAGACACATGCTAGAACTTCATGGGAAAAGCTTGAGACACTTTATTCTTCAAAGATTGGCAATAACAAATGGTTCCCACTAAAGCAATTGATAAATTTGAATTACAAAGAAGGAAGTCTAATTTTAGATAATGTTAGTGATTAAGGGCATCCTTGATCACTTGTCTGATATGGGTGTCAAGTTTGATTATGAGATTTATGGACTTTGGTTGCTTAATGCTTTGCTTGATTCATGGGAAACTTTCAAGTTTCATGGACCAATGTTGCTCCCAATGATGTTATAAGATTGGTGTTTTGAATGAAGAAGTGAGAAGAATTAATCAGGTTGCATCTTTTTCAAGCTCATAGTTAGATGTTCTAATCGTTGAAGATATGGGTAAAAGTAAATATAAGGGTCAAGGAAGCAAAGACAAAAGTAGAATAGGTTAAGGCCAAAGAATAAAGATCTTGAATGTCACCATGGTGGTAAAAAGGGACATATCAAGAAATGTTATTTTCAACTTAAAAGGGAGATGAGACAAGAGAAGAAGAAAGATGATGATAATGAGATTGTGTTACTACTGCCATTGATGGTAATCTTCTTTTTGCTGGTGATGAAAATGTCATCAATTTTGCATCCTATGAGACAAGATGTGTAACACTTTGAATCCTACATCAGTGGGGACTTATGAATGATTTTGGTATATAAGTGTGAAGACCAATCGCTACTAACAACTTGAACTTAAGTTTTTAAGGCCTTGTAGATGTTAACCCAAAGAGTTATTAAGCCAATGGTGGGCTTTGGCACAAGTCGTTTCTAGCTAGATTACATTCTAGTGCTACATACTATGTTACACCTAGAAAAGAATCTTTCACAATCTTCTTTTTGCTAGTGATGAAAATGTCATCAATTTTGCATCCTATGAGATAAGCTGTGTAATAGCCTAAACCCCACATCGGTGGGGACTTGTGAATGAGTTTGATATATAAATGTGAAAACTAACTATTACTAACCACTTGAACTTAAGTTTTTGAGGGTCTATAAACCTTGGCCTAAAGAGTTGTTAAGCCAATGACAAGCTTCGGCACAAATCGTTTTAAGTTAGATTGTGGATTCTGGTGTTATATACTATGTTACACCTAGGAAAGAAATTTCACATCTTATACTTCCGGTGACTTTGGGGTATTGAAGATGGGTGATGATAGTTAAACCAAGGTGATTAGTATCAGAATAGTTTGCTTGCAACTAACAATGGCACAAAATTGGTTCTTAAAGATGTCAAGCATGCACCTAATATCCGACTTAATTTAATTTCTACAGGAAAGCTAGATGATGATGGCTAATAGTTCTTTTAGTAATGGGTAGTGAGAACTCACGTAGGGTTCCCTTGTTGTGGCTCAAGGTTCCAAGTCTTCCAACTTATATTTGATGTAGGGTTCTATTTCTAGTGGTTTTATTAATGTAGTTGAAAAGGATGAATCATCTGAGTTATGATGTAGAAGGTTTAGCCATATCAGTGTGAAGGGGATAGATTGTTTGGCCAAGAAGAATGTGTTTTTTTGGATTAAAGGAAGTAATGTTGGAAAAATGTGTTCATTGCTTAATGGGGACATTGAAAAGAGTTTCTTTTAAAAACCATTCTCCTTCAAGATAGTTAGATTTCCTTGAGCTTGTGTATTCTGATGTGTGTAAGCTATTGAAGGTGAGGTCAAATAGGGGTGCACTATATTTTTTGACCTTTATTGATTATCATTTTAGGAAGTTTTGGTTGATGCCTTAAGGACCAAAGATCAGGTGCTTGATGTGTTTAAGCAAAATTTCAAGCCTGGGTTGAAAGATAAATAGGCAAGAAATTGAAGTATATCCATAAAAACAATAGGGGTGAAGATTCAAGATCGTTTGATAACTATTATAGATAGCAAGGTATAAGGCATCAGAAAACTCTTCCCAAGACTCCTTAGTGGAATGGTATAGCCAAGAGGATGAACAAAACTTTGGTGGAGAGAGTCAAATGTTCACTTACTAAGACTAAATTGCTTAGAACTTTCTAGGTTGAAGCTTTGAATACAATGGCACATGTTATCACTTTGTCTTCCATTATTGCTTTGGATAATGATATTCCTAACAAAATTTGGTATGGCAAGGATATTTCTTATGATCACTTATGGGTATTTGGATATCAAAACATTTGCACTTGTTCCTAGGGATGGGAGGGTAAAGTTAGATGCTAAAACCAAGTAGTGTATCTTCATTGGTTATGGTCAAGATGAATTTGGCTACCAATTGTATGATCTAGTTGAAAAGACACTAGTCAAAAGCTGTGATATAGTATTCTTTGAGGATTGGACTATTAAAGATATTAACAAGGCAGAGAAGATAAGTCTTTAAAGCAATGAGAGTTTGGTTGATTCTAGGCCAAGTACTGAGACTATGGCACCAAATGTAGTTGAAAATCATCTTCAAAATGATGAAGTCCAAAATGACATTCATGATGGTGATCAAGTTAAGAATGATCATGTAGATGCAAATGATCTTGATGCTTTTTTTTAAATAAAGTAGTGAATGATTAGTACGATCTTCTTGCTAAGGTCCCAACATATCCACCTAGAAGATCTAGCTAGGAAAGGAGGCCTTCATCTCGTTATCCTTCTAGTGAGTATGTACTTGTCACTGATGGGGGAGAACCTGAAAATTATTAAGAAGCCATGGAAAGTAAGCAAAAAATTGAGTTGCTTAAAGCCAAGAAGGATGAGATGAAATCTTTGCTCAAGAATCATACCTTTAATCTGGTTAAGTTGCCAAAGGATAGGAAGGCTTGAAGAATTGGTACCTTAGTTCCATAGTACAAAGCTAGACTTGTTGTTAAGGGATTTAGTAAAAAGGATGTTAATTTAAGTGAGATCTTTTCTTTGGTTGTAAAAAAGTCATTAATTATAGTTCTGTTGGGTATAACAGCACATCTTAATTTGAAGGTTGAACAAATGGATGTGCATATTGCCTTTCTTCATGGTGATTTAGATGAGAAGATTTACATAGAGCAACAAAAAGGGTTCAAAGTCAAAGGGAAAGAGGATTTTGTGTGCAAATTGAAAAAAAAAGATTATATGGCTTGAAATAAGCTTCTAGACAGTAGTATAGGAAGTTTGAATCTAGTATGAGACAACATGGATATAAAAAGACTTCTTGAGACCATTGTGTCTTTATGAATAAATTCTTTGCTAATCATGTTATCTTTATGTTGATGACATGCTTATTATTGGTTAAAATACTTTTAAGATTAAGAAATTGAAGCAAGAATTGAGCAAGTCTTTTGCTTTGAAAGACTTAGGATTAGCAAGGTAGATTCTTAGCATGAAGATCAGTTGTGATAAGACATTCAAGAAGTTGTGGTTATCACAGTAGAAGTACATTGAAAAAGTACTTCAAAGGTTCCAAATGGATAAGGCTAAAGTGGTCAGTACACTTTTAGCTATTCATTTCAAGTTAAGCAATACTTAGTGTCCTTCCAATGATGAAGAGAAAGAAATTATGTAGAAAATTCCTTATGCATTTGTATTGGGTAGTTTAATATATGCAATGGTTTGCACATGACCAAATGTTGCTCATGCAAAAGGGCTTAGTTAGCTAGTTTCTTTCCAATTCAGGGAGAGACCATTAGAATGCAGTGAATTAGATTATGAGATATCTTCGAGGCACTTCTAGTTTAAGCCTTTTCTTTGGAATAGGAGAGCTAATTCTTACAAGGTACACCGATTCAAACATGACTAAAGATATTAATACAAGGAAATCTACTTTAGACTATTTAATTACCTTTGTAGGGGAGCTATGTCTTGGTAATCAAGGTTACAAAGATGTGTTGCACTTTTTACTACTAAAGCAGAGTTTATAATAGTTGTTGAAGTTTGCAAGGAGTTGCTTTGAATGAAGAAATTTACTCGGGAACTTGGGTTTGCTCAAAAGAGGTATGTAGTTTATTGTGATAGCTAAAGTTTAGTTCATTTGAGTAAAAATTCTACATTCCATGGTAGATTGAAGTATATTGATGTTAGATACTATTGGATTAGAGATGTTTTGGATTCTAAGTTGCTTGAACTCCAAAAAATTCACATTGATGAGAATGGGTCAAATATGATGACTAAAGCTTTGCCAAGAGAAAAGTTTGAGGCATGTTGCTTGATCACTGGAATGGTGATCTCTTTCACATAGTTGATTGGGGGAGAATTGTTGGGTTTGGAATATCCTTTCTATGTGGACAAATGACCCAATATTTGTGAACTAAGCCCACACATGTGAACTCCCCTTGAAGCCATATATCTACAGCCTTTAAGAGAAAGAAAGAAGTCTAATTTGGGCAACAGAAAGTGGAAAGCATGTGAGTGGATCTAGCTAGCAAAAAGGGAAAGAAAACATGAGAGAATTCTCTAGATTTGTTATTGTGCACAATTTTGCAACTTGTCCGATCTGTAAAAGTTCATTGTTGGATTAAGTTGAAATTTTATTGTGTGTTCAAGAGAGATTGATCTACATTTTGAATAGTCAGTTTTTCATTTGAAGTTTTGTAGGTTTTGATTTTGTACCCAAAACAGTAGCTCATTTTTTGTGATTGTCTTTTTTTTTTTTTGTGGTCCCATTTTCTGTCGATTTATGGCATGTTATTCCTTTTGTTTGGTGATGTTTTTATGCCTTTTTAGAAGAGGATATTGTGTACTTCTTTTTATTATAGTGGAGTTACTTTTAGTGGACTAGATGTCACATGAGTTTTACCCATTTTGGGAGTTTTCCACGTAAAAATATTGTGTCTTTTGTGGTGAGTATTTTGCCTTCGCCATATTTGTTACATTGCATATTTTAATTACTGCCATTATTTTACTTGGACTTTAGTTTAGCTTGCTCCTAATAGTTTCAAATAGATTGGGGAAGATTTTGGTGTTGTTTTTGTTTCCGTTGTGTTTAAGTAACATCCCATTCTTTCCAATACATTAGACAATCCTTAAATATTGCTATTCGATAGGATCTAACCCAGTAAACACTTAGAAAACTTCAATATCCTAGTTGTATTAGATAAGGGGCTGGAAAAGGGATGCCATGTTGTTAAGAATCCTAGCATTTCCCTTTATGTCACTTGCTTCAACTTGTCAAGGATGTCATCCAAATTGTATTCTCATAAACTAAATAGCGGAGGAATCATTTTGTCAAATTCAACTCTCTAGCAAAGTTGGACCTCAAAGCATGCAAAGAAATTTCTAATGATGGGCCAGTCCTGATGGGGCTTTACACCAGTAATGGTATATCAGTAATGGGCCTCCAATCTACCAATTTGCCAAGCCAGCGACTTGCTGAATTTGTATTTAATTATTTATTTCTTTTCCTTTTATTTGTCAATCATTTTGCAACATTATTATTATTGTTTTTATTTTTGTAATGTTCAACATATTTTTTTTATAAACACAATCAATATTTTTTTTAATTATTATACAATATTTTTTTTTCAATTTTTGCATAACTCAAAACTAATATCTTAGCAAATGATCTTAAAAGTGCACTTCTTACATCAACATGATGCATTCCAAAAAGTTAATTTCCTTGAGGGTTGACCCAAGACTTAAACCATATACTTAACCTCTAAGATAACACTTGTTGTTTAATAAATCTAATCCCTTGAAGTTCACATATAATTTGCAATGATATAATTATAATATTATGTAAGATTATAAATTTAAAATCTTAATATATTATTAAATAAATGGATGTATAATGAGAACAACCAATGATGTAATAAAACGTTGCATAACATTAAACAAAATATTCCATTAAAAACATTGTACATGTAGTATTTTCATTTTCGTTCTTCAAAATTTTCTTGAATTTTGTACTGCACTTAAAATTGATCCAAGTATGAATATGGAATGGCATTTCAATTTAAATGTCTCTTGTAAGTTGATGTTGTTAAGAAAAAAGTTAGGAAGGACCGATGACACTAACATGTAAAGTTAAGTGTTCTTGACAAATAGAACAATTAAAAATTGAGAATCTCTAAATATTAGTATACATCATAAGGATATCAATTGAGTTATGTAATAATATAAAAAGATTACTTTAGAGCTTATTGACGCTGTGAGCAATCACATCTATTTTACTATCCCGTCTTAACAGGGGAGATCAGTAGACTTGGTGATGTAGTATCTCCTAGCACTACAATGCTTTGTCTATTTACAATACGTCTTCCAGCCAACAAATGGATGAAAAGTGTCTGTTTGTGTAACAAAAGTTGTGCCTGAGCCATTAATTCTCACTTTGGAAACCTTGCAATCACTAAACTCTTTAGGAACCATTTTCCTCTTTTCCTTCCTCTCCTTCATCTTACTTGCTGATTGAACTAAAGTCTTTTCAAACATTTTCCATATCTTCGTTTGGTCTCACTCCTCACACTTCGTCAAATTGACTATGTGGCAAAGGGTACATCTTCTAAAATGGAATTTGATTGCTATAGACTCAAGAAATCATTAACCACTTCTATTCTTTTACTAAAAACACTAGAATCTATGTTGATAGTCTGTTATTCCTTATAGTGTTGCTAAGTATCATGGAGAAGTTGATTTCCAATAGATGACTCCTCTTCCAACGGAGAATTAGATTTTTGCTCATTATTTGGAGCACCAACTTTCGAGGATAGCAACTTGCCATTAGACAAGACTAACTTTTCAAGAGTTTCTAGTCCCCAATGATCATTCTCAGCACGTAACCATGTGCCATAGGGATGAGAAACCTTTTCTTCAGCTTCCTTCACTAGAAAACCAATCTCATAATAAAAAATCACATGCCCTATACACCCATAGATAAAACAAAATTCTGGTAATCTTCCATACTTCATTTAGACCTGTTAAGTATTTGTTACAGAAATTTTGATATTCTTGAAGCATCTTAGTGGATTGTTTACTTCACATTGGATTCAAACTCATAAAACGCTGGTAAAAGAATCATCCAGTTCAAGGACCTTACCCATATTGCTTCCAATCTGGTAGCCAGCCTCTTGACCAAGTAGCCTATAGGGAATTCCAAAGATTCACACCCAAAAAGGAGAGGTTGAGAAATCATAATTTTCTAGAGCTAAAGATTTATCAAACCATCTCAAAATAATTAGTGAGCAATTAAAATTTTAGGGTGATTTCCGTAATATCTTGTTAACATCATAACTATTAAAAAATTGAAATGGAAAAAAGCTTAACCCAATTCTTTAACTTGCACACTAGAACTAGTTTTTCAAGTTGATGAAATTGCATTTTATAACTTTCTAAGATTAACTCTCTTATAGGTATGAAATTTCCCTATTAAACAAAGGGATTTGGAGGCAACCAATGAAACATTCCATGCATTCTCTAAAGATAATTTTGTTTTTTCCTCTTCCTAAAGTCAGATTCGGCCGAATTGGACCTTCAGGCTTAATTTGTTTGTCCTTAAACCTTAAAACGCTTGAATTAGTTGATCGGAATTTCAAACTCCACCAACACCTTAAAAATCCCTTTCTCTTAGTCCCCAAATGGAAATTGTTAAAAAAATAAAAAAAAATTGGATTCGGCCCAAGAGGGACCTGCTTAAGGCCACAAGTTCATTTGCTTCTAGCTTAGGCAGTCCAACCTAAGGGTGGCAATTTGCCTCAATCCCCGTGAGATCCCATGGGGATCCTCATCACGGGGACGGACGTAAAAGAATATTCCTCCTCGTAAGGCGAGATGGGGACTATTTTCCTCTTGAAAATTTTGTGAAGAATTTTTCTTACCCCACGAGACTCCGTGAGGATTGAGGATCCTCATTTCTACAAAAAATAAAAAAAAAAATAAATTAATTTTATTTTAAAATTAATTTAACCTTTAAATTTAAATTCAACCCAATAAAAATTAAACTTAATTCAATTTTACCCAACCCAAACCATCGTAGAAACTAAGTCAACCCATTATTAACCATTTAACCCTAGCTTTACTCATTTCTCATCACTCTCACCTTCCCATCCCCTTCTGCCGTCAACACTCTTCAAACCCAAAATCCCTCCACTGTTGTCCTTCTAGCCTTTTCACCATTTTGCCCTTAGTTTTACCCAACGTACTGCTGGTCTGGAGTTGCTGCTACAGTTGCTGTTGCTGGAGCTGCTGCCAGGTTGCTATTGGAGCTACAGCCAGAGTTGCTGCCGGAGCTGCTGCTGCTGGAGCTGTTGCTGCCGGAATGGAACAACATACCGTTGTTCTGGAAATATTGCTGGTTTGGAGCTGCTGCTGGATTGTTAGGATGGAGGAATGGGGATCCCTGCGGGGAATGGGGATCCTTGCAGGGAACGGGGATCCTCGCTGCTGCTGCTGGAGCTGTTGCTGCCGGAATGGAACAACACACCGTTGGTCTGGAAATATTGCTGGTTTGGAGCTGCTGCTGGATTGTTAGGATGGGGGAATAGGGATCTTGGTGCGGGGATCCCCATTCCCCGTGAGGAATAGGGATGGGGGGCAAAATCTGCCCCCCATCAAAAATCCTTACGGGGATCCTCGTCCCCGCAAATGGTGGGACTCGCGGGCCTCGCGAGACCCGTTGACATCCCTAGTTCAACCCCTTGCGCCCGATTACATGTCTTGCAGCCGAGATCGCGAATACAGATTGCAGGTTTGAATTTGGAGATTAGGATGGCTCTCTTGCAAGTTTTCAGTTATTTGGCAACAGATTGTGGCAGAACCGATGATGCAACCTCGCCCAACCTTGCGGAAAGAAAAGCAGCCAGGGTATGGGGGCAACAGATGAGCAGCCTTGCAAATTGACTGTCTGTACCAATGAGGGTTATTCGGTGATTCGGGGATGTTATGCCTGACGGAATGAGAGAGATGAGAAAAGAGGACGCTCCTAACGAGAGAAACCCAGGGATAGAGCCTAACCTAACCTAACTAAGAGGCTGTCGAGATTTTTCAAATTTTATTAATTTAATACAATATGATTATAGTAATTTTTCGCCTGATCGATAAACATTTTATCCCAATTTCAAATCCTACCCATGTCAAGAAAATTAAAAGAATGGATATAAAATCAAATAGAAGAACAACTCCCTTCGTAAATGATGATGAAAATGAGAATTAATTATTTAAAAGCACTTTTCTCTATACAGATTGTTAAAAAAAATAAATGTTTACAACAAAATTCCTACGAAGAAGAAACATCATCATCAACGGCGGAATTACTCTGAGGTCGATCGGAATCTCCGCTTCTCCGCTCACCACTTAGAGAAAAACTAACCCAAATCTCCCTCTCTACTCTTCTCCTCTCATCCTCTCTCTCCTTGCCCGCTTCCTCCTCATCAACCGGCATCTTGTACCTACAAACAGGGCACGACCCATGAATCCCCAGCCACTTCTCTATACACTCACCATGAAATCTATGCTTGCACGGCATCTCCTTCACCACCTCCCCTGCTCCCCACTCCTCCAAGCAAACCACACACTCTCCCTCCTCGCCTCCACCAATCTCAACCCTCGGCATGGCCTCTATAGCCGCTTTGGATGCCGGAGGCTGGCCAGCCTTGCCAGGCATGCCCCGCAACAGAGACTCTAGACTGGAAGTTCCCTCGATCACAACCATGCCCTGCGTAAAAGGGTTGATAAGGATGATTCTCTCGTGGGATGGACCATTTTCTGGGTCTGGGTCCGGGGAATTTTCTCTCGGAGAGGTGGTGAACCCCAGGATGAAGGGTAGAAACAGGGAGATGTCTCTGTGCCTCATTAACCTCTCAAATAAAGATGAGATTTCGGGGACATCAGTTTCAGAAGCCATTAGAGATGGGAGGATCAATTTGGGAAGAGAATTGAGAGGGCAAAAAGATGCCCGAAATTGATGAATCGATGAAGCAATGATGGAGGAGGAAAGAAATTATAAAGGGAGTTGTGGTTAGGCGAGCCCGCAAAGTCATAGGGGTGATAGAAAGTTGTAGAAAGATCTGGAAGAGGTAAGGTGGGCGCATGACGTAACATATTAATTTTTTTAGTATTAATAATTTAATAGTAGTATTTTGATGTTTATCCTGTCACCTAAAAGTGACGTCGTTTTCGCTTGAAGTGAGATATTTTTGGGGAAGGATCCAGTGCCAACAGAACCGTGTGACACAAAATTTTGTTCATAACACACCAATTGTCTTTAAAGTATTAGTTTTACTTGATTCGGTTATTAAACAAAATTAATATTTATTATTTTAATAAATTAAAATTTATTTTTAAGTTAATATTTTTAACGAAAAGTGTATATTAGTACTGATTTTAAAAAATAATTAGAGTTTTAATTTTAAATTACATCATTTTATTTAATTAAAATT